GGGTCATTAAGTCCAGCCTGCACTAAAGGGGAAGGGATGAGGCTCCATCTCTCAAAGAGAGAGTATTTAAAAACCTGTGAACATATTTAAAAACCACCACGGGGGAATGAGAGTGCATGTGCCACCTATTTTCTGTTACTGTCAGGTACTACCTTAGCAGGCACAAGAGTGACCCTGAAGAGGTGGGATACGAACTAGGCATATTTAAAGGGCAGGAGCAGGACTTGCAGCAGAATAGGGTGTCAGCTGGTGGGTTGACTGTAAGATGTTGGGGTGCCTGGGGCAGGTCCCTGGGAACGTGGCTGAGAGGAGGGGGTGGGTTTCAAACAGGGGCATGTAAAAGGTGATGGTGGGTTTTCTGTCTGAGGCAGATGTCAGTGTCCTTCAGAGTTCAGAGTTCTAGCTAGCTAGAGCTACCTTGTCTGCCTCAGGATGGGGGTGGGTTGGGGGTGGGGAAGGCTTGCTCCATTAGTGTGGGGACCTGCCCCTGTCCCTGTCAGACTGCAGTGGGGGGCTGCTGGCACCTAGCCAGGTGTGGCGTGGGCCATCTCCAGACCTCAAGCCAGGCAGTGTTTGCTGGTGATGCTGTGGAGACCTGCCCCAGGTGCTCTGGGCAGTCTTACCGGCTCCCAGGTGGGGACTACCTGGCCATCATGTAGGCCTGGACTTGCCGGCTTTGGGGAGGCAACCAGCTGCCCTCACGTGGAGCTGGTCAGTTTGGGGTTTGTTAACTTTACCTTACAGTGATATAGTTTCTGAACCCAGAATAGATCTGATGTGCATGATGTGGGGACAACAGGATGGCTATTTGAAATTGGGCCATCTTGGAAAATCCAGGGTACCCCCCATCCTGTGACTGGTGAGCCTGGTCCCACGAAGGGCCTGAAGCTGACTGGCTGCAGGTTCTGGTGGGGCTGGCTAAGTGACTCAAGTGAAACTCCCCCCGGGAGTCATATTGTGGCTTCTCCAGAAGATCCCGACTTCCTGTCAGCGTCTTTTGGGTGGAATGAGGACCCTGGCCAGTGCCTTGCTGCTCAGTGTGGCATTATGGGACATCACTCAGTGATCTGGTATCATGGGGCTCTGCACAGCTCACCTTCTGGAGAGTCTCTCCCCAACCCTGTACCTGGGTTTTTCACTTGTCTTCAGATTCCTGGACCCCTGCTGAAGCCAGCCTGCTGACAGCTTAACCTGAGGCCCTGGGGGATGATATCTTTCTTCGGGCCCTTCTGGTGTTTTCTGCCATAAAAGCCAAACTCCCTGCCTCCCTCCCACCCCCACCCCCGCTTTACACACACATCCTGAAAAAAACAGACCATACTAGAGAAACTTTCTTCCTGATTATCTTTCTTTGCCAGACAGGGCCATCGATATACTTGAATCATGGACCAACAGTAATTAAAAAGGACATAACTAGTCATTTTAAAATGCACTTGTTTTACTTAATTGATTTTGCCGCCAGACCCAGAGGAAAAAACAAAAAGGAACGGGGACAGAAAGTCTTAGAAGGGAGACAGGTTTCTGTGAGTGACTGGAGGCAGCTGAGGGCCCTGCTTGAATCTAATTGCTGCAAATTCTGCGGTTTGTTTCTGCTAATGGTTTTCTGCTGAAAGGCCTGGGGGACGAGGCCTGATTGGAGGGGGTGGCCATCATTTCAGCTGCACGGGGGTATAATTCTGTTTCCGGGACAGGGCCTATTTTTCCTTACTATCTATCAGCATAAAGTACTTCCACTGAACACTTTGAATCAAGGTTCCATTTAGAGATACTTTATTCATATTTAATTACAGGCTGCAGCACCAATCTTTAATTACCTTTTTTATAAGCCAGCTAGGAACATTCACTAGCAATCAATTATTGTGTGTGTGTTTGTGGAGTGTGTGTGGAAGCCCAGGAGGGTGTGGGTGTGTGACTTGCTTTCTGATAGAAGGGAAAGGCTGGCTGCAGGAGCACTGGGGAGGTGGTTGGGTAGGCAGGGATGGGGTGGGGGTGGGTGGGGTATCTGCCCCACAGCTTCCCTGTGCAGAGTGAGTGGGGCATCTCATTTTTCATGCCTCTCTTTGCTTCCAGTGGCTGCAGAGTGAGATTGGGGCAAATCCTCACAGCTGGGCCTTGTTCAGGGTGCTGAGTTGGTACCTGGGCTTGGGTGGTATCTTGGGAACCCCTCTGTCTCCTGGTGGGAGCAAGGCATTGTGGGAAGCCCCCTTCCCATTCCCTGGGGATGTGGTGGGCCAGGCTTCCTCTGACCCTGGAGGTGGGATGTGCTTGCCTTGTCCCTTTCCTTCCTCCACCTTCCCCTGGAGGGCTTCCTGCAGCTGTTGTTGCCACACAGCCCTGGTGCTGCCATGTCACTCTTCAGTTGCAGTGACTCTGCAAACGTCCCTGCAATGACACTGCTTTGAATACTCGTGTCCTTCTCAGAGAATGACCAAATGTTCCCAGGAAACTAGGTGGAGGCTTGGGGTACACAGTGGGGTCAGATGAGCCCCAAATTCCTTTGCACCTGGAATATTGAGCCATTCCTGTTCACTGCCTGAGAGGTGAGGGTCTAGGTTCACAGCTCTGCCTCAGAAAACATCTTCCTGGTCTCCTACCAGAGGGTTTTCAAAGGAGGCTGATGTGGATCTCATTATGTAATAGCCAGAAATATTGCTGAAGCTCTACCTCCCTTCTGTTCCTGGATCCCAGTCCTGGCAAGAGGGTGAAGAGGGGATTTAACTCACACTTACTGAGCCTCTTGAGGGTACCAGGCACCAAGCCCATGTTTCTTTCATCCATCCCAGCTGGGACCTCAGAACCCACTGTATTATCAGAGCCCCTTTAGTTGTGTGTGACAGGAAATAACTCAAACTGACTTAAGCAAAAAAGGAGTTAAGGGTAGGCATTCAGGCATGACTAGATCAAGGGACTCAACAATTGTGACCAGGATCCATTCTCCCTGTCCCTTGCTTCTGCTTTCCTCTTTGTTGTTACTGCATGACCCTTGGAGCTCCAGGCTTCAAGTTCAATTTTAAGCTTCAAGATCAGCAGAATGAAAGAATCCCTTCTCCTATAGTTCAAACAAAAGTAAAACAATTGGGTCTGATTAGACAAGTTGGGTCACATGTCCATTTCTGAACCAATCAGTGTGGCCCAGGGCATTCAGGGTTGTGACTGGCCGTGCTGGGGTCTCACACCCACCATGGAGTAACAAGTGGAGTCCACCTAGGTAAGTCTCATACATGATAAGTATTTTTACATTTGAGGTGTTTGGATTAGTACTATCCTTTCCACCATTTTGAAAGGAAGTATGAATTGATACAGTTCTTTTCCAGTGGAAAGGATAGTGGATTCAGCAAATATTTGTTTGGCCCCAACTAGTTCTAGTCTTTAAGTGCAGGGAGTTCAGCAGCAAACTAAGCAGACAAAAATCCCTGCCCACTTGGAGCTGACATTTTAATGTAGTTTGTAATAAGGATGGTGGTCCTTTTGTTCTCCTATTCCAAGTCCAGGTCCAGTATAAAGGGTTCTTGTGTGGAGTGACTCAGGATTCTTTGGGGCAGATGGCATGGGAAAAGCTGGCCCTCAAGGAGCCTAGAACTCATGGAGGAGGGAAAAAGACAAGTATGTGGTTGGGGAAAAAGCAGGAAGGTTAGTACTGGGAGGGGCACAAATAACCCAGTGAGGAAGAAGGGGGACAGGAAAGCCAGTCCATACCCATACCCCGTGACACAGAATTGGAGGCCCCTCCCATGTTGCTTGGACCTTTGGTCTCTGTAGGCTGTTGATAGATGGGATGGTGTTCAGTGAAAGCTCCCACATGGATGACAGGGCTGGAGGGATGATTTATGAGATGTTGCAGCCCAGCAAACAGAGCAGCGGGATGGTGGCTGTGGTTACCTGGCTTCCAAAGCCCAAGGAGAGGATGGGGGCTGAGAGGCAGGACAGAGTGGCTGCTGAAGAAGGGGAGATAAGGAGGCTGGAGGGCGTGGACTAAATAGGCCTCAGCAAGAGAGCTGGGGCTGGGGGTGAGAAGGAGGGGAGGCATGTGACTAATTGCACATACACACATTTATCTGCACTTGTGTTTTTGTTTGTATCTGGCCTTTCCAGAATTGTGGGGCTATACAGGGACTTCAATATATGGAGGGGATGAGAATTTCAGCCTTGGTCAGTCTTGCAAAAGGCTTTTGGGGGCCACCTTCCCATCTGGAAGACTGTTCATATCTCGACCACTTAGGTGTGACCACTCAAGTCAGAAATTTTCCTCAGGAAAATTGGTATGACATTTTTAAGAAGGAAGGAAGGAAGGAAGAAAGGAGGGACGAAGGGAAGAGAGGATGGGTGAGTAAGGGGTAAACCTTCCGTTTCACAGAGAAAGCAAGTGCAGAGAGGGCAGGAGAGGTGCCCAAGGTTGCTTTTGGGCGGCATTGCTGATCAGGACTGAAAGCAAGGCTCGGGTTGCAGTCCTGGGATCTCTGCCAGGTGGCCGGGCTGACAGTGGGCTCAGGATCTGTGTGGAGGCTGCTGTTCTGTCAGGAACAAGAGGTGGTTTGGGGCCTCCAGCCTAGGGCTTCTTCAGAACATCTTCTGTCTGATCCCTGTCTTGGGCTGTCCTAGGCCCAGGTTCTGTTAACTTCTGATTATATCCATATGTAAGAGCCCAGTGGTTCAATGGACAGATGAAACTCAGTTCTCAATACTCTAGTCAGTGCTTAGGGCACCCATGCATACATTTGAGGACACACCCAGCATGTGTTTTCAGTCTTGCTCCCACCATATGCCTGGTGTGAATTTCTGTGACAGCAAAGGGCCCAGGCAAGGTGCTAGGTTGGTATACAACTGATAGAGCAGAAAATCTGTGGAATATCATTAGCACTGACTCCAGCCAGCACGTCTTCCTGGGATCAGTTAGGTCATGTGTCCAACCAGCATGGCCCGGGATATTTAGGGTTCTGACTGAGACTCCGTCCCTGAAGTGAGTGATCTAAATTGCTCTGTTCTCTCTCTACTCTTGACAGATCCATGATTTGTTTATGAGCTTTGACGATACCCCTCTGGGGGCCGCTTCCCTGGCTCAGGTCCACAAGGCGGTGCTGCATGATGGGCGGACGGTGGCTGTGAAGGTCCAGCACCCAAAGGTGCAGTCTCAGAGCTCAAAGGACATTCTCCTAATGGAGGTGCGAACCTTCCCCTTTCTCCTTCCTTGTCCTCATTCTGTATTTTCTGGGATCCAGGAAGCCTCAGTGAACCTGGTTCAAGGCTGGTGGGTGGAGTGTGGGCCTTTGAGCAGCACAGTGGGAGAGGAGAGCTTGATACCATGGCAAAGAAGGTGTCAGGACAGTGCTGTGGCCATGGGACCCATGACTGGATTGGTCACCTCTCGATTTGCTCCTGGTCTCACAGCACAGTGCGTAACTGCTGGGGCCAAGGAGACTTCAGGGGGATGTTGTAGAAATGAGATGAACCAAAGGTGACTTGCTTGGGGGGTTAAAAAAAGTTACCCCTAAATTGTTAAATTATAACAGAAGAGTTATAATTTTATACCCTGGTATAAAAATGACAGGAGGATCACATGAAATATGTAGTTTGTGTTCCTGCTTATCTGGTATGTTTTGAATGAACAAACTTGCATGCCTAAAAGCATTTCTGAGAAAAGCCCTAGTAGAGACTACCTCTGGACTTTTCTAGCTCCATCCCTCAAGCAAGGGAGAGAGGGTGAGCCAGCCACTGCCTGGGTGATGGGCATCACCTCTATAGGGAGGCAGGGATCCATTTAATGTGCTGGCAAGTCCCTCTCCTTTCATTTCCCTTTCCCTCTCTTTTGTCTTCTTTTCTCACTCTGGACTTGAAGTTTATTCTTTCAACTTACTTTGCCTAAACATAACACATAATGAGGGTCTCTTCTGCACCATGCACTTGGTGGGTACTGGGGACACAAGAGTGAGTGAGCTCTATCCCCATCCTCAGGGGAGCCCCCTGTTTAGTGGGGAGCAGGTCTTACACAAACAACCGTAGTGTGGGGATGTGAGCTCCGTCAAAGGGCTATTTGCCCAGTGCTGTGGACTGGTGAAGGCATCAAGGGGGCTTCACTGAGGAACCCATGAGACAGCCAGGCAATGGAAGCACAACCCAGCCTGTGCAACAGCCCCAGATCTTAGAGGAACAGAGTGTATTTGGAGAGCTTCAACTGGTTCAGATGGTATGAGTTGGGAGTGGTTGCAAATGAGGTTGGGAAGGCAGGAAGGACAGAACACGGAGGACCTTGTTTTCCAGGCTACACATAGAATGGGACACATAGTAAATATATATTTACTATGGAACTCAGCAGCTCTGATTTTCTCCTGTAGTCAGTGGGAAACCACTGAAGAATTTTAAATCAGGGGAATGTCATGATCAGATGTGCATTAGAAAAATCTGTTGGCAGTCTGGAGGAGGTACTGGAAGGCAGAAAGACTGTAGCCAGGGAGACTAATTAGGAGCTGCTCCATTGGTCTGAGAGAGAAATAATGATGTGAACCAAGGCAGTGTAATGGGAGTGGAGGAGAGGAATGGGAGTCATCAGGACTTTGTGACCAGCTTTATAGGGGGTCGGGGCAAATACTGGTATGAATGAAAAGGAGGAGACTAAAACGAATTGTAGGTTTCTGGCTTAAATGATGAAGTTTGGATTCCTTTAACCATGTGCATCAGTCAGGGTCCAGTTGGGAAAAAAGAAGTTATTCTAGATATTTCAAACAGAGAGAATGTAAAAGAGAAGATTGCTGAGAAGCCAAATGGGATGGTGAGACAGTTACCAATAGCAGGAAGCCAGTGCCACCATCAAGGTGGAGGGACAAAGAGAAGAGGCCATTCTTTGGAGCCCAGGAGCTGCGATGTCCAGGCAGGGCTGGCCCACTGTGAGTTGGCCCTGTAGAAGGTGGATCACAGATGTGACGTCTGTCACTGGGAGTGGGAGCCTTATAGATAGTGTTGGAGGCAGCAGGTTTTCGCCTCCCTCTGTCACCCGGTATTCCACCAGCTGGAAGCCAGTTAGCAAGGGAGCCTGTGAAATGTACTTTCTTATGAGAGTATGGGGGTTGGATGGATCTCAAAGCAAAGTCAAAGGGTGATGGAGCAGCCATGTTGGATGAGATACTGGGGTAAGGAGTTCTGGACTGAGAGAGCTCCATCAGTTTGCAGTTCATGCTGGAAATACAGACTCAGGATCAAACAGCAAGGAGATGCACAGTAGCTGAATCTGGGGGAGTAGTTGAGATCACTTAGAAAAGGTATGTAGAGTAAAACAAGCAAGAGGGCAGGGAAAGAACTGTGAGGAGTGTCATCATCTGGGGAGTGCACCCAGGAAGGTAGGTTCCCAAGGGAACTCTGAAGCCATGGACTGAGGGATTGGAGGAGAGTCAGGATTGAGCAGAGCTGCCACAGCCACTGAAAATGACTGTGAGAAGAGAGCATTCTCAAATATCTAGAGCTGCATAAGGAACCACCTCAGAACTGAGTGGCTTTAAACAGTCATGTGTTTTGCTCATGAATCTGCAATCTGGGTAGGGCTTGGTAGACTCTGTTCTGGTTTATGTGGTGCCAGCTGGAGTGGCTTGACCAGAACTGGGGACCCACTTCCAGGTAGCCTGCTTGAGTGGCTGGCAAATTGGTGTGGGCTGTGGGCCAGGGCCAGAGATTCTCTCCATGTAGGCCTCTTCATGGCTGCTTGGGCTTCCTCACAGCATGGTGGCTGGGTTCTCAAAGTGAGTGTCCTCAGACAATAAGGCTCAATGTACATCACAGTTTTATGACCTAGCCCTGGCAGGCATATCCATTACATCCTCCTTACTCTATCAGTACAAAGGCCCCCTTAATTTATGAGGTGGGGTAGTAGACTCTGCTTATTGATGGGGGACATGGCTAAGTTCTAGAAGAATATTAGAATAGGAGGTGCTGTTGCAGCCATTTTGGAAAATATAGTCTGCCAGAATTCCTCAACGTTGTCAAATGGAAGATAAAATTAGTAAAGCTCTGAAAAAGGGATTTTGGATTTGGTGATTTAGAGTTCCTGGAAAGAGCATGGACAGTGGGTTAAGTGGGGAGGAAGAGAATTGAGGCTCCAGGGAATGGAGGCAGTTTGGACAGTGGAGTTAGAGCAAAGCACAGGAGTAGAGGCTGGGATCTCCAATGGGCTACAGCTGACGGGGAAGGCAGCAATGGAGTGGGATACTGGCGATTCAAGAGGGAAGCAGCTGATAGGTCTGATCCATATGGGGACTCAAAGTACTGGGCTCCAAGGACACAGGTGGAAACATTAGCCTTTGGTCAGCCTTTATTTTGAGATTAGAGGGAGGTGGCAGGGCTGGGTATGGATGAATGTGTGGGACAGCAGGGGAAGGCAGAGGGGGAAGGTGGAGGGAAAGTGGGCAGCTGAGTTGTACGAGCCTGATAGCCTCTATTTTTTCTCTGAAGTAGGAGGCAAGACCATCTGCTGAGAATGAGAGGGTAGGAGGTGGCACTGGAGGCTCGGGGGTGGGGGGTGAAGGTTTGGAATAGCTGCTGTGTGTCATGACAGGAAAGGGAGCTGACCAGGACTAGGGACCAGGGTTGCTGAGTGGCACTGGGCTTTCATCTGGAAACTGGAGTTGTCTGGAGCACCTGTCAGTGGCTGTGGAGTGGCCATAGCTGGGAGGGAACTGGGAGTCTCAGAGGATCCCTGCATGTCCTGAGACCCAGTAGCCATTCCTGCATCAGGTGGGAACCTGTCTCTGCTCAGTGGTGCCATCAGGAACCACTTGGGCTGGGGGGACAGCTGACACTGTTTCTCTGCTCAGAGCCTCACTGGCTCCCTGAGTAATGGTGGCCATAAGGTCAATAGCAATAATAGCAGTAATAAAGATTTGGCGTCTTCCTCCTGCAGATAAGCATCAGATGCATTCCTTGGGAAGTACAGCCTAGCTGTGTGCAGAGTACAGAGTAGCTTCCTCATGGTGGCCAAGGCAGTGCTGGGAGTGAGGTTGTCAGGTGGATCAGAGACCTTACAACCTTCAGAAGAGAAGCTGGAAACGAGGCCCAAGGTCACCACCTCTGTGGACCATCAACATTAACAGCAGTGTCTGATGGCACTGCCTGATCCCTGGACTTGGTCTCTGGTAGAAAAAAATCCTACTTGGGGTACTCTTCTTTGTAAAAGTAAGAAGAGCCCAAATGGAAAGCTCATTTCATTTTTTATTTGAAATGAGTATTATAATTGTTTTTTCTGAGTCCAGACCTAAAGTGGTTCCTTGATTTTGGGAATGAAAACCCGAGAAAGGTGTTTGGATATACTTGGCAGGAGAATGATTTCTAGGGGACATTAGGGCTACCTTAGCCACCAGAAATTTGGAGACAGAGGGGAGGGAAAGCTACTTTTCTGCATAACTTCTGGTGCTTTCTTTCATGACAATTCAGGTATTGTGTGCCCTTATGCTTCTCTCCCACTGCCCACTATTGTCCCTCTCTCCTCTCTAACAGTGATGGAACACAGCATTGTGTTGAGAGGAAGATAATCTTATTAGAGTAATTCTTACTAAGGAGAGAGTGACTAATAGGTTGAATCTCTGGATATTTGCAGTTTAAGAGGTGAGCTTATAAATCTAAACATATATCTGCTGTAAGGATAAGTCTGTAGGAGTAAGACTTCTGCGAATGAATATGTGGGGACTACTGGTTGTATTAAGATGCATTTGGCCGCAGGTACCAGAAAATTCAACTAAAAGTGATGTAAATAATAGTAACCTGTTATTTGGTAATTTCACATTTTAAGCCTTCTGGAAGTAGTGTTGACTATTCCAAGGCTGACAAATCCAGCACTTTATTGTGATTTTTAAGGACCTAGATTCCTTTTGTCTTGTCCTTCTAAGGCAATGGCCCCTATGGTCCCACAACAGCTGCAGCAGTTCCTGCTCTTACAAGTAGATGATATCCAGATGCTAAGAGGTCCTATTTCTTCTCCCAGATTCCTTATCAAAAAGAATCCCCTCAGTAGAATTTCCATGATTTCTCATTGATTGGAAGTAGGCTACCTGCCTAAGCCTAAATCAGCCTTGGTAACAGAAATGAGACTACTTCGATTGTCCTAGACCAAGCATGACTCACCTTCTCAGGTTAAGGGCTGCCTTCCTGGAAGGACATGAAAGATGTACAAAGTTGAGGTTCT